ATCATGTTAACTGACGGTCGCAGTTTAGTAATTCTTATACTAACTCCTGTACCATTAAAGATGATGGAGCAGCCACGTCGTTAGTATGGATGACAGGAGCATACCCAATCGACTAGTCAACGACGTCGCCACGAGTACTCGCCAACATGGAAGAAGAAAAACGTTGCAAACTGCATAGCCGCTGCCAGGGTAAAAGGTGCGATTTGCAAATCTCAAACGGCACGGACGGCAATTCAGGAATCCAGCACCGTCTACTGTGTCCACGCTGTCAACGAACATCTGCGAGAGGATCGTCATCATCTGGCATCTCTTAACCCAAGGCATTGTGATCAAGACAACTCCCCCTTCCCGGAAAACGCCGCCGCCACTACCATCACCACCACCAGCAGCAGTGAGAACACTCCCGACATCCTGCCAAGCACCATCATCCGCCCAGCCAAAAAATGCAGGCTCGATTCCAACCTGTCCCATTGCAATCGTACCTTCACACCACGCGTTGGCTTAATCGGTTACTCGCAAATTCACGGCACGGAAATTGGCGGATCAGTGCCCGGAACCCCGAAGTACGCCCGTCACATGCGTCTCGCGTGCCCAGGACATTCTGACACTGCATGGATCCTCTCGGCTACATGCGCATCTACGATTGCGGAAGTTGCCCTAATGCAAACATGACAAACCCAACTTTGCACCCGGAATTCCCCCACCTCCAGATACGTCAAGTGCCCGGCCAGCATCACCACCGCCACCAGCTCCGTAACCACAATCCCATCCTGCCATCACACATTTGCAACAGGCACCGGTCTGATCAGTCATTTGGGAATCCACCGCACCAAGACTAGCAACAAGTATCAAGAGCCCAATTATACACACGTAGCCCCCGCCCCACTTGCCCACACTATCCAAGAACACTCAGTCGTAGCATGGGTCTGTTTGACGATATGCGCCTCCATCAACATGTGTGGTGAAACATTTGGACCCAAACCCGCATCATCGCAACTTATCCTATGAACCTACATATTCCTATACCACACATGGACCTGCTGCACACAACGCACCACCCTCATAACATCATGCGTCTCTCTGGTGCCACGAACGTGATCTGTTTCGCCATCACCGGTATGACACGGGCAGCGCCCCATGTCGGGACATGGACATCCGAAACAGGCTCTTGGTTTACATGAAATGGCGGCCAGGTCTTGGGCAGTACGCGTAGACAAGCTGTCTAACTTCGTCGATCACTGCGCCCAATCACATCATCAGTTGGTTGACAGGTTCCGACGGTCGACTGATGCATTCCAGAGGAAAAAGTGACGTCGACAGTGGGGAATCTGCCTTCACGGCAAATCCGCGTAGTCCTCACCATAACAAATCTGACAAGCCTGGATCAACGACGCGCTTGAAAGGTGGCTAACTGACGGGATAAGCCGGACCTTATGGGAGTATTCTGGAGTCCCTAAACGATCTTCTTAATGTGGCCTCTATGGCGCTCTCACGCTTGTGAGATGCGGACCGGCCCGTGGAGATCTGACACGTGCTGTGGGGACCAGGTCATGAGTGGCACGTATAGATGGCCTGTTTAGCCATGTAAGCCACTGCGCCCGAGCCCACTGTCTTGCCATCAGAGCCAAATGGGCGAGGAATAATGGAGTGCAGCAGGTGGTAAGCAGGTATGCTCCGCCATACTAATCCACGTGCCGGTCCCCGTTCTTCATCCACTCGGTGAGGCACGTGGCGAAAGTCGTCGCTTGCGACGGTCGAACTGTCCCACCATTGAAAATGTCAACCGGTTTTCCTTAATCGTCCCTAGGATGCAATATACCAACTTAGTGCCGCGCCATATCCTGAGAGTTTTCATGATTATCGTGTGCATTTGCTGTCATGGATGTAATATTAGGGAGCAGACATTCAAGCCTGGAAACTCAATCACTTCCACCGCGGCTGTCTACGAAAAAAATACCGAAGCTGGGGTGGCAGGACGGGAGACCAAAAACAGAAGTCCTCGAACGAACCGGAACCCTGGCATTTACGCCATACTGAGGCAACTGCAACTGCACTAGAGTGGCCACTTCGCGAGGATAGATGACGAGCGCCAGCCCAAGTGACTTTTCTAAGGCTATGCCGTTAAGGGTGCTCGCCAACAAGGACAAAAGGGGCGCTATGAGGATACCCTAAAGACTTCTCTCAAGCAACGAATCAACCCGAAGACATGACAGGACCTCACCCAGGATAGACCGGCCTGGAGAATAGTAAAGACTGGAGCAGTAATCTACGAAGCCAACCGAATAGCCACCGCCAAAGCCCAAACAGCGGCTCATAAGTCTTAAGCGCCTCCGACTCATAACGTCAGTAGGTCCACACTGTCAACGAACATCCCGTGCACGGATTGGCCTTGTCGGACAACACCAGGACCCAATGCAACAACCACCGGGCAACTTCACCTGCTGCCCCCACAAACGCCTACATCGTCACCCCCATATTGACCCACGGTGACAACCACCACCGCCGGTGATTACACCCTTCCTTCCTCGCCGCCGCTGAACACCATCATCCCATCCATAACCTCGTGACGGCGGCAACCACCTCGATCCCACTCCAACTACCGGTCATAACGTTCCCAACGTCCCGTCATCCACCACCCTCACAACAAACGCCATCCCCACCAGCAACGCGGATCCGATCCCCACGCGTCCTCAATGCAATCACACTTTCACGTCGAGCAACGAACTTGTCGGTCACTCGCAAATCTATTGTAGGTCAGTAACCCAGTGCCAGGAGGACCAACAAATACCCGCTGCCCTCGCCCTCACTGTCCACACCGACCACGAATAATCAGCCACGGCATGGGCCTACTCGAAAACATGCACCCCCACGAGTCTATAGTAAACCAGCGCAAATTAAGTCTAGCCGCTACGCATTTCCCCGACAGACCCTGCCACCCACAACAGGCGGGGACTAGGCATCTCTCAAGTAAGAGGGAAGCTTGCTCTCCGGCTCTGTCTCCGTGTGACCTCTATGGCGCCCTTACGCATATGATACAAGCAGCCCACCCCGTTGAGAAAACCTAGTGTAGTGAGAGGCCAGATCGTGTAGCACACGAGAACAGGCTGTTTTGGCTCCGCCAGACACTGCCTCCAATCTCAGCATCAACTGACTGACCGGCTCAGACAATCGACTGATGCACGGGGAGGGGGGATGAGGTCGACTATGGGATTTCGTCCCCACGGCACTCAACGTATATTGTTTATAACAAACAATCTGGCGCGCTCCGAACCTATCCCGTCGCACTAAAAGCCGTGGTATGGAAGGCTATCAACTGACGGGGAAATTCGGTCTTCTCATGACGGAGTCGAGCTGCAATGGCTTCTTCCTAACGTGACCACTATGACACTCAATCAGAACCCGAACCCCACCCCTCGTTCCGCGAGGACCAGACGTGTGGGGCGCGTAGACGAACTTCGGCTGAGCCAGCCACTATCTCCGACCCCGCTTCCGGTCTTCTTGACACCGGGCCCCATGCCGGCGAAGGAGCAGTAGACGCGACTAGTCTGCTATCGCTATAAACTGACTAAACATATGTCACCGTCCCTGCAACCACCTTGCTGTGGGTCATACGGTGAACATCGTGGGTAACGACGGCCAGGCTAGAAGGTTCCGCTCCTGAAATCTTTGTCATCTGAACTGTAGTTTTATTATTTGACCAAGCAGGACAGTTTCGCTAGCCACTGTTCCGTCTTGGCATCTCTGTTGTGTGCAAAAAATGGTGAACACGCGACAGCCAGGCGTTAAGTTGGCTTCAGGTTTATCAATGGCACGAGAGCGTCAACTGGCGTCAAAACCGCAGTAACGCCCGTACGGTGTGAGCTATTGGCGGTGGCGACCAATATATGCAACCCTCGGCCAGGGGGAGCAAAGGCATACTGCCGCAAGCGCATAGCCTCGTTATTCTGTACTTACATGTCTGGTGATCTCTGCGACACGCGCTCTAACCATAACCGCTGTCTTAATTACGCAGTTTGGTGTTCCGACTGGGCGAAATGAATTACGGGAGTAAGCAATACCTGCTTCACCTCTTCAAAGCTGGACACAGATGGACGACTGTATATGCGTCCGTGCATCCTATGAGGGTTCGACCGTATCCTTTTATTGCAAATTGTCCAAATAACAATTCCAATGCACCTAATCATCGGTGGAGAGATGGCTGTCTACTGAACCTGGACTCAAGGTGGACCTCGCCATTCACCCCTCCAGGACACTGAGACTTCCGGGGTTGTGTCGAAATGCGGATAGTGCGGTGACGGCCACCATGTTTCACGACCACTGTGGCTTGGCTTCCGACCTCCTTAATGGTAACGAATTCGTCAAATCATTACCCGAACCAAATAGCAACACATGTTATGTAACTGCCCACCCATGGGACCAAGGGCTAGGTGTCGCTAACGACAGTTAAACAGTGCGGAGTCTGACTAACCACAATATCCCTAGCGCGTCCAGGAGGCAAATTCTACACTTGTCTAGTCTGACTTCGGACAAGAGATCAACAAGAACTCTGGTTATGAAGTAACCAATATCAGATTTTCGATAACCCAAGCAGATTATTGCAGGCTTTAAGGAAGGCGTTCGAACTTGTTTCAATGAATAACGCTGAAGCGTCTACACCATGGAAAGTAATGATTAGAGCCCCAGCAAGACCTCAACACTAAGTCAAGCTCATGACGTATACACAATGAAACAATTGGGAAATATTGGGAGAAAGATGTGAAACAGCATAAGGATGTCCGCAGTCAAAAAGGGCTGAGTTAG